CAAGGACAAAAGGACTCCTTCCACAATATTTTCATTTGCTGTGGCTCATAACGCCTGCGTGGTTTCAAAACCCTGTCATCAGAATGAGCCGGAAAATACCACATACCCGTGTCCTCGCTCATACGACTCAATCGGGACACACACTGTGTGACACTGCCTGGCCGAAGTGTGCTCCCTTGGAACCTTCGCCCCATGTTCCAAATCACCCTTCAACACTACGGAATAAGTTCACTACATGCACTAGTATCGCTCGTTGGAACGGTTTTACTTTTGTCAGAGGCTGTTGGAGTTCGCAAGAAGGGGTCATGCCTAGTGCTATGCAGAGGGAAAAGCACACGGCAAGCGCCCATGTGCCTGGCAACTGTTGGCTCGAGGTAGGAAATGTCTGGCATGTGTCTCAGTGTTAATCCACACGCAGACACAAGTTATCATACAGCGCTTGCGTCTCAAGCGTAACGTTCCCAGCAGGCTTTCTACACTGCTCTGTACACTGCTGAGGAGGCACATCAAGGAGGTAGATGATCAGGAATTCCAAACTTTTCCAAAACTTCTAACGGCAGAGCTAAAGGGTACAGGATATTGAGATTTGGGAGAAACTCCTTTCTTCCTACTAAGAATGTGTCCGAGACTACAGACATGCTCCTGTCGGCACGCTGCGTCCTATGCCACGACAGCCCCCTGCCACAGGCCCTAGCACACAAAGCCTCCTCTACTGGATCTGACAGTTCTCACGGGACTTCGGTGCCAGCCTGCGGGCCGGGCGCGAGGCGGCCTCACTTGGGCCTCAGGCCGGCCCTGGGGCTGCCAGCGCGCTGTCTCTTAGGTGGGTTCCGGGCCGACAGAGGTCTCGCAGAGGCGTCTTGGAGGACGGTGCCTGAATCGGAGGGGCTTTCTCGAGGGACCTTGACCTGCAACACAAGCATCTTTGTTAGAGGCTCCAAGCCCATTCACATTCCCACAGCATGCACAATACTTTGCCGTCAAACCGGACGTTAGATTCCTCTTCCCTAGGAGCCGCACACAGCGTCACCCCTTCTTCTTACCTGAGGGCAGGACCCACTGGAGAGCCACGAAGACGTATGACACGGCCCCTGACGAGGCACCTTATACACCCTCCCCGACACCTCTGATGGCCAGACACATGCTCCCAAGGCCAGCGTGACACTGTCAGACCAGAGGGAAGCTCTTTCATGGCAAAGACGATGGCCTCTCCACCACTGCGTCCCCCGACTACCTCACAAACATTCCATGCGCACGTAAAGAGAGCCCAAACCACCTTCCCTGTACCCTCCTTGCGCCGCTGCGGTCATTCAAAGGAACATCATCCCGAAGAGCGGCACCGCCTTCGCAGGGGGTAAGTCTTATGCACAACATGGAAGAGACCGACCGCCTGTTGCTCATGGAACATTTTAATCGCTCTCATTTCACCGTTTTCTCGTTTCCACGTTGGGCTTGCAATAGGGCAGAAGGGCCGCTATCCAACAGTAAAGTCAGGGGGCAGGAAATCCCCTTTCTGATGTCCTGCCTTCAACGGTCTCAGAAAACGGAGGGTGATAAGCAGCAGATGAGTGTCAAGACTTTTTCTCGGGTTTACATATTAGTGAAAGAAAATCAGGGGTCCGAAGAGAGAGAGGAAAAAGAGGAAGTACTCAAAAGCTCCACCTAACCAAAGACCAAGGAACCAGTGGGAGACTCCAGTAGGAAGATGTGGAAAACACATCAAAACAAAACACAGAAGACAGGCGCTCTACCAAGAGCAACATGGGCCCAGTCCGGGGCTCGAGGCAGCGTTGTGACAGAACACTTCCCGAGCAAGTGACTGCCAATGACCTCTTGGTGAGGCAGAGGGAAGAAAAATGGAAATCATTCCCCCATTTATATTCCTCCTATAGGAAGTATGTGGTTTTCAAAGACAGCTAAATACTTCGCATGACAGAAACCGAGCCAACGTACACAACTGAGCACATCCCCAGAAAGCCTGCCTCGACCTCGGATCACGCGCAGGGCCCTTAAAAGGGACAGCAGCCTGGAAGGATCAGGATCGGGACGGCATGGGGGATTACGGTCCATGGAAAGTCAATGGACAAAAACAGCTTGACTAGTCCTCTTTCTTGTCTTTCAAAGTAGAAATGGAAAGAAAAACAGGACTTCCCTTGATCCCGTCACCTGCTTGAGAATCGAATCTTTAGGTTCTCCAGAAAAAGAGACGGCAAGAAAGATCCCTCCGGGAAAGAGAATTTGAGCTAGGAAAACTCTGACTTAACCCCAATTCAATAGCCAAAGTCCATCCCTGGACTTCCCTCACCTTGAGACTCTGCTTCTCTGACGCTGAATGGAGCAAATTCTGCTCGGTGGCCTGGGTTTCTACTATGGATCTGATGCTCAGGCTGGTTAGTTCGCCTCAGTCCTGTGCATCACAAGGGGAGCTCAAACTCGCCACGTCCTTCAACTCTCAGGTCCACCCAAACCCTGTCTCAGAAACTACATCTGAGGCAACAGCGGGAGTGGGCGAGGAAGCGGCCGGCTCAGAGTAAATTAGCCCCATTAGTCGGGAAAACACACAAAGCCCCACGAAACTGCTCACGGACAACTGCTGCGGTGATGGCGTCACCGTCAGCCTCTGCCATTCTGTGGCCAATCCGCCCGCACTGACCTACCCCAGGTTCAGGCCAAGTCTGGACACACCACGCTCCCTTGTCCCTGCAACGAGGAGCCCCGCGTTTTCTTCGTCCCAGAGAATGCTCCTCACCAAACGGCATTCCACCTACTTGCCCCTTGGAACTTGTCACGTGGCACTGTCTTGCTCAAAACTCAAGCTGGTCACTTCAGGCGATGGCTACACTCCCGAGTTTCAACGCGACGGCCTGAGAAAAACGATACCTTCCTCTATATTTTTGAAACTGAATGAGGAAATATGCTTAACAGAGGGGCCAAGCATTTCATGAGGCGACTCAGAAAACCCTGAATTAAACGAAAATTCAGTCAGCTGCGTTTTGAAGTCGGCATCTAATCTCAACGTCTCCCATTACCTACTGTCCAGAGGAGGCCCATTCAATTGCGCACGTGCACAAAACTACTTAGCGACTCCTTACTGCTGGTGCCTCCTGCCGCCTGCAGCTCCTGCAGTGATCACAGGTATGCAGGGCGCCGGGGGGAGGACTGGGCAATCATGGATCAAAAAACAGTGTGGAGAGCGGGCCCCCTAGTGTGCAAAGCCTTCTTTCTGAGACAAGGATATGACCTCTACAGGCCAACTGCTTTACCGTCAGCTCCTCAAAAAGGAAGAGGGAAGAAAAGACCCGTGAGGGGATCGCATGAGATGATTTCCTAACGCACTTTTAAAACACCTATTTAATATCACAGTCACTTCAGGACAACATCAACAGCTCTGTTCATTAACAAGGATCTGTTGAATGCCAGGCGTTGCATGAGACGGGGCGACACAGGTAAACCGCCTCCAATCGGGAACCTCACAGAAACTCCTCTTGCAACTCAGAAGGGAGACTTTGGAGCAAGTCATTAGTCCAAAGGGAACTGGCTGGAAACAATGCAAGCAAGGGTGCTTCCTCCCTGTGTCACCATCTCCTGCTTTCAGAGCCAAATACCGCACTTGATCCCTGTCAGGGGGAGAGCAGCAGAGAGCTCTCGGCGTGGACTGCGCAGGAAGGGCAGCTCCCAGTCGCCCACCTTCGGAGGTGGCAGGTCAGGGGTCATCTGATGCTTCCCAGCTCTGGGGAACCTTCGACGCCGTGCTCTCTAGAAGCTCTCGATGCTCTTTGGGAAAGAAGCTGTTTCAATCGTCACGGGAACGTCATGATCTACCCCAGGACACTCTCCCCAGGGTCACGTTGTTACCGGCAACCAAAAGTTCAACTGAAATAGGATGGCAGGAGGGAGGACGCATGGAAGGGTGGAGTTGATGAGGGAGGAAAAAACATGGCACAAGCTGCTACGATATTTCTAATACAAGGAAAGGACGCTCCACTTTAATGAGTGAAAGGAAATCTCTGAACTTTCCTCCTCACCCCTCAATTTAGACACATTTTATTGTAACGTAAGTTCTGCACAAACTTCATACTCACTAAAAACTCCATAATAATTACACCTCTTCAGCGTCAACAAACAAGCTGGCAAATATGCACTTCCTCTGAGTCAGCGAATCACCAATGCCCCTGCAGTTTGGTCACCAAAATCCTACGAACCTGCTGCTCCCTTAGGACTGACCGCCTCACGCCAAGTTGGGATACGACACTTTCAAAGCTTCGTCCGCTGGCTCAAGTTGCTTCGATGCCGAACAAGTCCAGCGAGCAAAAACGTCTCAAAAGCTTCACAAGTCTTCAAGCTGTTCCGGCAACTTGCAACAACATTCCTGTGAGCCCCGGTTAGCAAAACACGGAGAGGAAACCAAGGCTGCGGCACCGAGAGAGAGAAGGCGATAACCCTGCGCGTGAAATGCCCGAGTCTTCCTTTCCTCTTCCTTCTACGATTCACCTTACAGTGAGAGTTCAATGAAGTGATCAGGTAAAATGGGAACGTTCAACACAAGGCGTACGTGCCCTGGATGGAGATGGCAGCTGCGGGTGGTGGATCTCATGACAGTAATGCAACAAAGACTCGCCGAGCAAATATTCTCTACGTGTTAAACTACATTTGCTGGGTTGTGTGCGAGGCACACAGGCATCACCGAGGTCCTCGCCCACAACAAGCAAAAGAGGGAAATCCGTAAACAGCTCCCCACTTTCGACACCTCGTGAAACGAGTGCTTTCTGTACAAAGGAAAGCACTGAGGAAGAGTGAAGAATGGGCATCGGGGTGAGAGGAAAAAGGACAGAACATCCACCACCAAGGCCAAAACAAAACCACCTCTTCCACTCCTTCAAAGGTAGTGCTGGAACTTCCTGCCAAGGCCTCTGAGTTCGAGCTCACGGGGCCATTTCCCATCAAACTCTGGCCTGCGGGGACAAGGGCCAGACGGCGGAAGGATCACGTACCGTGGAGCCTCAGGGCTGCTCACCGCGGACCGCTCTGTCCCTCGTGGAGAGGAGGGACTGACAGACGTTCAGGAGCCCCCGCGGCAGGGGCCTGGGTTCACACCCTCTCCCCGAGAACCCCATTGTCGCCTGGCTTTCTAGCAGCAGACGCTCATTCAGAGGACGTACCTTCTGTGACCTGCTGCCACCAGCTGTTGGCTTCGACGTCTCAGCCTGGTGTCCTTCGTCAGCATTTGGGAGGGACGGTGGTGACTTCTGGGCCGCGAGGCGGGCGCTGCTCCTGGTCATCAGGGTTGTTTTCCTCAGCATGTACCTGCCTGTCCTTCCCGTTGGCGTCTCGGCGACCCCTAAGGACAAGAGGGCTGCCTGTCAACACTTCTAAGTCCCGTTCTCTCTGTAAAGAGCACAATGTGCATGGGGTCCACTTTGAACACTGACGAGTGGAACTCCGCAAACGCTTTCTCCTGGCCACAGCGGACAGGGCTCAACTGCGCAGTCACCCTGGGACCTGTCACACTGAAGAAAGAACTAACAGCTTTTCCCTTCATAGAAACTTAAACCCCACAATGGGAAGAAAAGGGGAAAATAATATCACACAAAAAAGGTTTTCCTGCTACTTCTAGGACGATGTCTTCACTGGTGTTTTTCAAAAACCTGGGAACCCTCCGGGAAAATCTGGATCGCGGGAGGTCATCCGTAAAACTAATGACCGGAAAACATAAAGGAGAGAGGCCAGTTCTTGTTTACCTGGCGAAAATGGAAAATGCGAAGAGGTCCTCCAGGTGACCCCTCCCACGTGGAGACTTGCAGGGGCCCAGACCTGACCTCGCTACCACCCAGTTCCCTTTCACCCTCCGCATACACCGCCTCCTTCCAGAGAAGGGGTCGTGACCGAGAGGACAATCTCAATGCCAAGGACTCTTGAAACACGGGGTCTCACTCATCCCGCAGGGAGGCATCAAGGGCTACGGAAGGCAACGTTGGGATCCCTTCTGTTTGGAATCCTTTGCACACGCATACAATACAGAAATGAGAAAGACCCCTTAAGAGCTCACTCCTTGGGGGCTGGATGTCCCAAGGGCGAGGACTACTCAGGATGGACTGTGCATCTAACACCATCTAGGGCAGAGAATCAGTGTTCATCCTGGTTTGGCGGGGGCAGGGATGGGCTGACTTTTAATCTGTATGGAATGGCACTTTCGTAGAACATACTGAGAAGGAATCAACAGACAACTGATTATGTGCTTGGATGTTCAGACAATGCCATGCCGATACGACAATTTTTAACCCTTACTGTTGATTGCTGGATATTTGTTTCGGGATGCGGGGGTCACGATCCAGTAACAACCGTTCCCCGTCCCTGGGCCACACTTGGAGGACCACTGGGGTTTCCAAAAATGGGGTTTGTGGCTTCAGCTGGGGGGCCGCATCGTCGGGCCCCTCCTCCGGCTCACCTCCTGCCTGGCTCGCTAGTGGCTGCGCACAGGAAAGCTTCAAGGCACCCCCAACATATGGAAATTTTTCAGCACGGGAATAGCAAATTTGAAATAGGCTTGTCACAATGAGTTTGCAATTGTACTAGCATTTTTTGCAGCGCACCCTGAGTAACTAGACCCTATTAATGCTCACAGGACAGAGAAGAAAATACGTTATCTTAAAAGAGACGCATTTTCTGAACGTTAATTCGTACGACTGCACAGTAACCTACAGCGCAATGCTTCTGTCTTTTGGCACGTGAAATTCCATGTGCACTTTCTGAAGAACACAGGCCACTTTGCTTTAAGACTATGCCGCACCTTTCTTTAGCACTTCCGGCACTCCCTTGGGCTCAGACTCAATGGCTTCCGCATCCTCGGCAGGGGGGACAGCACTTTGGGCCGCCCTCTTTCTTCTCGGAGGAAACGTGTCTGCTGTGGAAGGGGCCGCGCCTCCTTCCTCCTCCTCCAGAATCCCGCTAGACCGTGGCCTTTTGCCGGAGGCTTTACGTTGGCCGGATGGTACCTTCTGTTCAGGAACATGAGGGACTGGAGGCGGCTTTTCCGCAACAGAAGGAACTGGAGGTGACTCTGGGTCCACTGACTTGAGCCCAGGAGAAATCGGGACAGGAGGTGCAGATTGTTGTGTGCTCAGAAGGGCGACTTGCGTCTCCAGCATCTCTTTGGCTCTCTCCAGCTTCTCGTGGCTTACCAGCAGGGAGCGGTACTTAGCCAAGTGTGCGTCCGCCTCCTTGCTTTTTACTTCAAGGGCCTCTTTCAGTTCTTTCACCTCGGTCATCAGTTCATCGACATGAGCATCCACAGCAGCACCTGTCAAAAATCACACCATGACATTTGACACTCGACACTCCTTCGGTTGACACTGGACGCCGGAAAGCAGAAAATCTTTACCTCGTTCCTCCTTGTTTGGTAGACATGGAGGAACGAAATCTCTGCACGTTCTTAAGAGTTCTGACAACCCTTGCCTGGAAGCGATCTTATCAGGATCAATACTCTAAGAGATTATGTAAGCCTTACGAGGACACCTTCAATAAAATGCACCCAAAACTCAAACTCGTGCTGCCGCTAACCCATGAAACGTTCTTGCGGGTGTGCCTAGCAGAGCAATGGATCACTTCGGCACAGCCCCTACGTTCCCTGTCCATTCTTCCCACTGCCCGGGAACGAGCGGCGTAAGGCGCTCAAGGATATGACGTCTCCTCCGTTGCTGTGGCTTTGGGAGGGAGATGGGGACCAGTGACCAGGCAGGTCCCAGAAAGCTCTGGAAACCATCGGCAAGCAACGGAGGGTCCGAGGGACAAAAGGTTGGGGGACGCGAGGGGTGGGACTCTCCGCCATCCTTTAGCTGCCATGCTTGGCGGGAAACCCATTAGAAAAACTCCCGGCAGCCCCGCTGCTCTGAGGATTCTCCTCCTTAGGAAAGACACTGAACCACCCTGCTGAGCTCCGGTCCACAAGAGCCGCTCACGGAAAGCGTAACATCACCTCTCCACACAGGAAGGACAATTCCACTCGGGCATGAGTGGACGCAAGTGGTCCTTTCTTTTTAATTTTATCTCCACACCCAAAAAGAGAGCCCCCACCTGCGACCGCCCTCCCAGGGAGCTGACCCACGAGCTGTGCCAAGGACAACCAGAACCGGCAGTCCGTAAACAGGCAGTGCCTCTCTGCCCGAGACGTGGGGTTTAGGTCAGTGCACATCACGGGAGCAACGAGTCTCGCAGTGGCCCGCTCGCACTCAGCGCTGCCACAGTGTTTGTACGTTCTCTGGAACACAAGATGTGATTGCTGCCTTTCAGAACGCAGGCTTCCTTCGGAATCCTGTGAATGACCCCACGCCGAGCACACCGTTCCGCAACTGGAAAACGGACAACTGCCGAGTAGCGGGCTGCGCTCTGGACCAGGGCGGGGCGCTCAGACGCTGCCCGCGCGCACGCCGGGCTTCCCAGGCCTGGGCGTGCGGCCGGGCCCCCTCACCTCACCTGATCTCTGCTTCTCTTGCGCAGCTTCTTCCAGGTGACACAGCTTTTTCTGCACCACCTCCTTCTCCTCTGCCAGCACCTTACAGCGTCTGAGCAACGACTCCATTTTCCCCCGGGCCTGTTCCTTTTCCTTTTTCAGCTGAATTATACATGTTCGATTGCGCATCTACAAAACAAAAACTTGACGTTAAAACCTTCCTTTCTTTTTTGGATAAGCACATAGAAAAGTCGTTACGATCCCTGACTGCCGTGGCTCAGTGGGTTGAACGCTGGCCTGCGAACCAAAAGCCTGCCGCTTGGATTCCTGGCTGGGGCACGTGCCTGGGGTGCCGGCCACGTCCCTCACTGGGATCCAGGTTTCTCTGGCCTGGCGCTTCTGTGTTTCTCTCCCTCTCTTTCTCCCTCCCTGCCCTTCTCTCAAAAGAATAAATAGAAGTGTAACAATTTAAAATTAAAGAAGAACAAGAAAAATCCTAAGGAGGAAGAATTAGGGGCCACGTAGGGAAAATTTTGTTCCATTTCTTATGATCATACTCAATCGTCACGTGAAGAAGAAGACACTGCACCTCTTCTACCCAGTTACCTAAGTGTCCCCGGTACGCACCGGTGTTGTGACCCCCCTTCTTAGCATCCACAAGCACAGAGCACGGTTCCTAAGACAGCGTTCTCTCTGGGCCTGTGGTTCTCCAGAGAGAGTCACAACCTGGGGGGCGGGCGTAGGAGGCCACGGATGTATTCTTCATTCGGAGTCAAACGTCCTGAGAGAAATAAGCTCCCATCGGGAATCTCGTGCCGATACAGAATGTTCATGCCTCACATGGCATTTGTTTTAGTCACGCCGGGTGAAGGCTAAACGATATTACGGCTCACAAGACACACTGAAATTTCACAAGTCGCTCAACAAGAACGTGAATGGAATGGGGGGAGAATTGCGACATCGTGCCCTCCTCAGACAGGAAACTTCCTGCTTCCTTAACCAAACAGAAGCTCTGCAAACGACGGAAAGGCAGAGTTGGATCTGATAACAGGGATGTACAGTCTATGTTTACTCCACCTTGGGTGAATGTTCACACATTTTGCGACAGAAATATGCATTGGTAGGAAGAATTACCCCAGATCCAGCTAACACAGTACATCCTAGGCGGCCTACGCGCTGCATTCTGGAGGACCTAACGATGTAGAATTCTACAATGATTTAGCTCTAAGAGCTTCTGCTAGCAGATCATCAGTATAGAAAAGCACACCAAACGATTCAGAAAGAACAAGAAATGGACCGGGCCATATTCACGATGCTCGGGGTTGCAACTTCTGCCTAGTTCATCTTCAAATTAGCGATAGTGCAGTAAACCTGCACTTGGGAAGTGTTCTATTTCTGATTACAACCGGCACTGGATTAGACATGGATTAATTCGGTTGCAAGAATGCTTATCAGGTATACCTCCTTAAAATTAGATGTGATCCCAAGAGACTCAACTCTGCGCCGTTTTGGCCAGGGGAGGAATAGAAATCGATGTTCCCCACAGTGAAATCCGCAGAGAACAGAAAGGCAGAGAAGTGTGTAAAAATGTAGGCCCGAAGCTACTTCTTTCTACTGTTAAACCTGTATCTCTCATTTACCAGAACACCATTGATCACTCATGTTATTCTGAATTTTGGGAGCCTGTACGGGATTGGTAGATGTCCTTCCTCTTGAGAGTTGTGGAAGAGCGATGCACCTGAGACCTTTACACCTCGTGCCCTTTTGGAATATATTCAATGTACGATTCCTATCAGAATTCTAAACGTGGAAATCATCTTTTACTAAACACCTTTACGGGAAGATACTTGTTTGGAAGGCTCATGATTATGCATTGTGGATGGCAGTCATTTTGGGAAAGGTCTCCGTAGGACTCCGAACTGCCTCCCTTTCCAAGTACGATGACTCAGGTGCCCTCTCCATTCTCAAATTCTTAAAATCAGGGTTCACCCCCGTTTCTCCTCAACAGAAAGGCTTTACCATCCCTCTGTGGGCAGGAAGGGGAGAGTGAACGCATACACGCGCCACGGGCCTGACCCATGCTCTGCCACACATGGACCTTCCCGGGAGCTGGAGGAGAGTGGGCTTGGTCCCGGCGGTGAACGTGGAGGCCCATCAGCCAAGACTTTGGAATGACCCCACCCCAATTGTATCTACAGCCCCAGGGCCTGCCCTCATCTGGGACTGGTTTCGTCTGCACATCCACCTCGAGAGAGGTCTTCAACACCCTCTAGCTGGAGCGCTTCGTGAGCACTGAAGACCATTTCAGCCATGAGACTGTAGGCCACCCGCTGATTTCTCCAAGGAGCTCAGCAGAGAATTCACAACAGGTATCATTCATCACTTTTTCATGATAATTAAATCTTGGAAATCAATGCCAGTACATCCACACTTATTCTGCACCAACCGTTCCAAGTATGAAATTATGACAAGGAAACAGACCTTGGTTTGTAGCAATTCCTTTAAAAGCTCAGCGTTTTCATTCAAAGACTCCGTGAGTTGTTCTTTCCTGGACGTCAAGAGGTCTATCTCCACCTTCTGGGAGCGGAGACATTCTTCTGCAGAAGTCAGTTTCTCTCTACACGTTTGGATTTCCAGTGCATGCTGGGGCAGAAAAAGGCTACTTCAGCAAAACAAACCAAGAACAAAACTGCTCTTCCAAGGACTGTTTCAAAGGCACTCTGCAACGCTCCTACTCTGCTCCTCCAGGACGGAAATGTATGTGGAAAGATTCAGTTATCAAAGGACACACGTGCAGGCAATTGGGGGAGACAGAGTGAAGCTACCTTGACGGCAGGCACCCTCCTTACACCTTACAGCATAATAATAATAATGCACAACTTGGACCCCCGTGATACAGAAAACAAAAAAAGAAGCCTCATTACCGTGGGCAACACACAGTCTCCAGCTCCCCCAGGAACCAAAATGCACTTTTCACCTCTTGGTTGGTATCCAGAAGCAAAGTGTGATGTTTCTTTTCCGCTTCCTGAAGCTGTCGCTGAGAAGCAGCTAGTTCTTCTTTCGCTTTCTCTTCCTTTTCCATCTGCTCTTGCTGTATGCGATCCAAGCTCCTTCTCAAGTCACTCTTTTCTAGCAGCAATTCCTTCACTTGACCCTGAGGAGAAAAGTCATGCAATCATGGGAAATCACGAAGCACCTTGATCTATACCTTTAGGAAACACCGCGCGCCGGTGGGGAAAAGGACTTGACGGTCAAGACAAAAACCTCTGCAGAGCAGGGCAATACACCGTAGCCACGGGTTCCCCTGAACTGCACCTTCGCCTCCAGTGACAACTACCTCGGTTCTGGCCACCCGCAAGGTCACATCCAGGCGACCGCAAAATCTCTGACCTCACTTCACCGGAACCACTCTGGGACTCCAGACTCCTGGGCTACCACGCCGGATTATTCAAGTGTTTCCATTGGCAGAATGCCTTGACCTCACCACCGGCACCACCGTTCCATCGTTCTTCACACTCGAGCCCCTTCACAGTTTGGCTCTCTCTTCCTGCACCGGCTTTAGAGCACTTCCGGGAGCATGACTATTTCGTGTTTCCTATCTAAGGAGGATTATTTCGCGATCCCTACTGCGTGCCTACACTGGAAGCTCCAGGAGTACAGGAGACACAGGAGAGCCATGATTCCACATTCTACCCCCTCAGCTTACTAGTGCTTAGTATAGACAGAAAGAATAAATAAATGAAGACAGACACTGCAAGATAATTCGCTTCGACGTAGAAAGTGAGGCTCAACATTTAGCTTGTCCTTCGAATAGAGCCTGGAAATCAAGTACAGGTAACAGGAGACTTGGGACAGTCCCAAGCTGCTCACTATCGAAGCATATTTCAGTAGACGCTAGACACAAACGTATCATCACTACAAACTATTTCCACACGGCATGGCCAAAACCCCACCTTCAGTCAACGGCTGACATGGAAGGCCCAGCCTTTACATTGTCTTCAACAGTGATTTGAGAGACACAAAGAAAAACATCACTTTACAGTTTCCCCTTCCTCGTCCTTATTGGCTGTTCCTTCCATGTGCCCTGACCTGGGATCGAACCCCACGGTCTGGGCCTATCGAGACTGCCTAACCAACTGAGCTACCTGGCCGGGACAAAGGCCAAATCGTTTCCGGTTTCCTCCGCTGAAATACGGTATTTAGACAAAGGCACAAATCTCCACAACTTATCATACAGGGTTTTACAAAAATCACTTCAACGTCCTGGGCTTCTTCTGGATCGTGGTCACCCCTCTCTCCGCCAGCCTTCCCTAAGGCTTCCTCACAGGGGAAGCTGCATGAGGACTGGAGGCACATAGGGAGGTTTCCCATTGGACCGGGTGTGGCAAACAGGTCTCGCTGCCCCGGGCAGCTCTGCCAGCCCCGGGCAGCTCCCGCAACTCAGGGCTGAGAGGGCAGAGGAGCGGCAGGGGATGGGAATCGGCACAGCCTGCTACGGGCACAGCGGCGGGGAGTGGAGGCCCAAAGGCCGCACACCGGCCACATTAACCCTGCTCTGAAAGGGCGCCCAAGGCTGCCCTCGCTCTACACCCTCCTGCCCCTTTCTTTCTCTCACTTTCTCAGCTCTGAGCACCATCAGGGCATCTGCCTCTCCCAACATTCTGCCTTGGAATCGGCGGCAGGCTGGGAGAGCAGCCCATCCAATGTTGCGGGAGATCGAATTCTGAGGGGAGCTCACGGAGGACAGGGGCCTCGTCTGGGAAAAAAGGTCTGGGCTCCCAGGCAGCACTGCTCCTGTGTTCGGAGGCGCCTCCGCGCTCCTTCCGGGCCCAGCACTGCGCTGGCTGGGGAAGACCACTGCCTGTCGCCTCCTCACACAGGCGCACACTGGTTCTTTACAAAAGCTCGACAGCATCCCCTGCCTGACACAAGGTCTTCCAGATACAAACAGGGAGAGTGTGCACACTCAGTTACCAGTCTGTCACCGGGAGACTCACTTCGCTCCGCTCCAGGGCTTTCGACCTCCCGCTCAGTTCTTCGCTCAGCCTATGTTTCTCCCCGCTGAATTCTGCTTTCAGGGCCGTCATCTTCTGGGTCATCTCGTGCACTTCGCGCTGCAGCTCCGTTTCCCTCATAGTCAAGGCGTTGACCTGAAATGGGATCTTTCGTTAGGATCTGCTTGCGGTGGCCTGCGGTGACCAAATCAATCCGTCCCGTACCGCAGTCGTGACGTCACGTCAGGCTTCAGGAACAGCGTGGAACGCGACTGATCCTCCCTTGGCTAATCTCTCAACTAATGTGCCAAATCCCACTCGGGAGCTTACCGTTTCTTGGGAGCAAAGATTTCACAAGGGACAGCAATCAGGGAAGGAATGACAAGGAAAGGTGCTCTCATTGAGGGTCAAAACCCTGCATAAAGGCATTCATTTCCATTCAACGGAAACGTCCGAGAATAGCGTACGAGGCAGCATCGTCGACTGCCATCACTTCTTGGATCTCTGCTAACCCTCCGATGTCCTACTGAGTCGCAAGAAACATGGCTAGCCTGAGGGAGAGCCTACTGACACTCTGCTGCTTGCATCTGCTCCTTGCCATCGAAACAGTGGCGTGCAGCTTTCCTAATCATCACCACAACCGCTGTCTCTTGCGAGCCATCCGCACCCTTGAAATGCTTGGAAAACTGGGTGCTGACTGCGTTTTTCCTGGCACACCCGTTCCCCTTTCACATTCGTCCCGTAGAAGCGGGATCGCGTGAGCCCCTTGATGGCAGATCCTCCCTCTCACCGGCAGCTACCAGAACAGGAGGCCGCACAGGGGCGGGCGGGGGGGTCGAGGTACAAAAGACGGGAACTGAAAGCACAAAGGCCCCGAGACACACACCGGGGGCCTTGCCGGTTCTCTTGGTGACCCTCACATCACCGTCTTTAATCGGCCTTTCTCCTCAAAGCCGTAACGACGGGACGAGGACAAAGGGGATGCCTTCTCATCCTGACTCGTATCTCTTCTACTCTCTATCGCAGGGGTTCTCAACCGGGCTGGGGGAGGCTACCATTCTGACGCGCTGTGGCAAACAGAAGTGGAACGAGAACCGAGAACTGCGCGGACACCACAGCTTGTGTCCGGTCCACGTGCCACATCAACAGCCTGGGCCAGTCCACGCCTCAGTCCCACGCACATGTGCGCCAAAGCCAAGAAAGGGCCGCTACGACTGCAGACACTCAACGTCCCCAAGCTCGGGACCCCGCAGACCATCGAGCCTTGACAAAGTCTGGTCCAAGACGCAGACGCCGTCCAGAAGGAAATGCAACTCACCCACTGGTTTCCCTCCCTCATGACAACATAGGCAAATACAGAAAAAACCACTTACTTTGTCAACAAGGGACCCTTTTTCCTCTTCTACCGCTTTGAGCTCTTCCTCCCGGTCCCTCGTGGACCTCTGCAGCACTTTGTAGCTGGCCTGCAGCCTTCCGATCTTCTCCTCCAGTTCTGCCTTCTGCTCCCTCAGAACCTGGGGGTCTCTCTCGAGCTGCGACAGCTTAAAGACCAGCTGCCCCTGCAGCGTGAGCTGCGTTTTCAGGTTGCTGATCTCTTTCTCCCTCCTCTCAAGTGTCTGCCTCCCAGCTTCTCCTTTGTCAACGAGGCCACTCACAGAAGAGCATAAGATAACGCACTGATTTTGGGCCTGCGCCAGGCCTTGCCGCAGCTGAACATTCTCCTGTGCCAGACAAGCTACTTGACCCCTCAGAACGTTCTGCTCCGTGGCTGTCCAGGGCCCCTGCTGATCACACGGGGCTGGCCGTTTCTCCTTCAGCTCCTTCAGTTGCCTTTGAAGGCCCTCCTCGACGGCTTTCGAGTTCTGTCTCAGCACAACGTTCTCCTGCTCTTTTTCGGCCAACGCCTTCTCCAGAGATGACTTCAGCGTTGCCAATTCGGCGGCTCGCCTTCGCTCTCTTTGGAGGTCTTTGCTCAGCTTCTCCTTCTCTGACCTCACGCTGCCGAGATCTTTTTCCAGCTCTTCTGTCTTTGTGCTGATCTTCTCCTTCTCTGTTTTGTACTTCTCCGCCTCCCGAGTCGCACGCCCCACGTTCTTCTTGGACTCTTTCAGGTCCTTTTCCAGCGTCTCCACTGTCTGCCCCAGCGAGTGTACTTGCTGCTTGCTTTCCTGCAGCATTCCCAGCATCCGGACCTGCTGCTTCTCGTCCTGCTCTATCTGGACTTTGAGCTTCTTTATGTTCCTTTGGAGCTGCTGCACTCCCTCCACTGGGAAGCCCAGGCCCTCTTCCGGGACCTTCCCGCTTTCTGGGTTCACGCACAAGGCTGCCACCGCCTTGTTCACCTCTGCCAGGTCTCTCGCAAACATCGCCACAGCAGCTTTCGTGTCTTCTTCCATCTGTCTCTTCTGCTGTTCCTGTTCTTCTAGCAGGCGTCGAAGGGAACTTAATGCATCTCCGACAGACGCCTGACCCTCTGGTGCTTGCAGCGGCAAAGCAGCTGATTCTCCAGATAGCTGGTTTCTCTCACTGGGGACTGGGTCTCGGTCGCAAAGCGCAGGAACGTCCCGCTTGGCTGTTCCCTCCTTGCTCTCCCAATGGCCTTCTTCGGATCCGATGCTGTCACTGCTCTCGCCTCCGCCCGGAAGAGCCTGTCGTTGGGAAAGAGAACGAGAATGTATTTCATTTCCCAAGAAAGAATCGGAAAAGATTCCAGAGGCTTCGTGATTGCTTTAGGGAAACTGGCTTCCGACCTCTGCTGAACACACCACTTCCAAGGACATCTCTCCTATCGCATCCTCCCCACTCCATCCAATGGCAACACAATGAAACACACAGTCAGGAGGTGTCCTCTCTGGGCAAGGCACTGGAGAAGGAGTCTATCCTGAGAAAAACCCTCCGCTCCGTCATCATCGACCCTGGCATACACCGCAATTTCAAATTCTTGTTCTCGCTAGGAATAGACCGCGTACCCTACGTGGGAAGGTTCTCTTTCTGATTATCAAACACGAGGCTAAGCGAGTCCACGGAGAATGCTCAGCCTCCCTCTTCAGCATCTCTCATCTACTTCCACAAGAGAAGGCGGTGAGGTGTCATGACCCCCCTTTAGCCCAAGGACTGAAGCCTGCGCTTACTATCTCTCTCTTAGGCAAACCACGTGTCTGGACGTCACCTCCTGTCGTCCGTAAAACAGGGACGACACGGGTGCCGTGACCGCTCCTGCTGCCTACTCAACCCCTGCCATCTCCATCACACAGAGGCGGACAGAGGGAAGGAAGTGACACCCTCCCACTCTCCAGCATCGCTCCTTGAGATGCTGGACTAGAAGGGCGAGGGCCTCAGTAACTAACACCTAAACATCTTTGATGTTAGACTCGATGTGGATTTCCATCCAACACACATTTACTGACTGACTACTGGACATGTACTTAGAGAAACAGCATGTGCACCCCTGGACTTACATCTTCAGCGTCGGTGCCCTGCACGGCCCAGGCGCTTAAGTCCAGACATTGGGGCTCGAGTGGCGCGACTCCCAGCTCCGGCGACAGGTGTTCCGTCGGTTCCTCTTCTGCCGCCATCGGGGACTCCCTCCCCGCCGTCAGGAATGCTGGCATCTCTGCACACTGTTCGATTTCTGACACACGCTGCTCCCTCAGGCAGTCGAGCTCTTTCCTCTCAGAGCTTCCAAACTGTCCGGGCTCTTCTATGGCCTTCTCTTCCATCATCTCCTGACTTCCCACGGTCTCTCCCGGCTCCTCGAGGGACTGCTGGCACCCCTCACACAGGATCTCCAGTTCTTCCACACTCTTCTCCGGGACGGGCGGCGTGGGTTCCTCGGGCAGACACTCCTCCTGCGGACCGCAGCGAGACGCCTCCTCGTCCTCAGACTGCCGTGCACAAACGTCCCCTTCTACACTCTTCAGAAGGGACGTTTCACCTGAAGAGAGAAAACTGTGATAAACGCAGCACTGAAAGGCTCCTACGCACGTCACTGAGCGGTAATTCTGCTTTCCCACAAGAAATAAGAAACTGTTCCGCCACGTCGAGCAGAATCCGTTGGACTAAGGACGACAGAGGAAAAGATGACTTACGGCAGTAACTCTCGACGCCCCTCTACGAGGAGTGCCGAGGAGCAACGTAACCCACATCCCAGCCCCTCACCGTGAAACCGGTGTCTATGGCTCCAAGAATCACCTGGCAGCGTTTTCAAACTCCGTTACCACCTTGTTCTCTGCCCAACAACACACCTGTACCCCCGGCCCCATCCGCCTGACAATCGCCTCAATGCTTTCCTTCAGCAGCGATGGGAAGCCTTCCAACTCCCCACATCGATTGAGGGAGAACACAAGCTGAGGATCTCAAGCACATGACAAGGGCAGCATGAATGCCAAATGCAGGGGGCACAATCAGTGGCAACCACCTCCTGTTGTGAACCCGCTCATCTCGGTCTCCCTACCGAGGGGTGGCCCTCCACAGGGTGGCTCTCCACAGGCCCCGGGGCTATCGGTCAGCTCGCCTCACGAGCGCCTCCGACCATCACCCTGGTGACCAACGCTGGAACACGCCCCAGCTGTTCCCTTCTCTTCGCGCCTTCTGTCATGGAAGACGGACAGTGCTCCCTACTGCGGTCGAATCCCTGAAAGCCGTCTGGGGAAGGGGGGCATTGCAAAAAGGAAACAGTCACACCGGAGCGTCGCACATACTTCTACCATTTACGGGGAAGGTTAGGAGAAACCCTGGATGTGCACACGCCCGAGGGGAGAAATATCCACGTGACCAGAAGAGCTGTGGGGCACAGAGAAATGGGTGACTCACGGTGGACTCCTTGGCTGTGTGGAGCATAAGAGTAAGGAAATCAAAGCACCCAGTGCAGTCAGTCCTCCAACACCCACGGGGGCGAAGGGCTGAGACAACATGCGCTGCATCCCGGGGCTTTCCTTGCTAAGCTCATCACCGAGGAGGGGAGCTGCCCGAGTGCAGCCAATCAACGCGCTGGAGACAAAAAACAGCCCTCTGGGGCGACAGACAGCGCCGACAGTTGACATTTGTGTGGAAAACCTTTACCTCTCTCGTTTCAAAGTGCTGAAAACCAGGCATTTGCCGGCGCTTTGTGTTCCAGTTTATTTAAAGAACACACAAAACAAAAACACCCCCCATCTATCACCCTGGAAACTAAAAAGTTTCCCGGAAGAGAGAAAACTGTCTCCACATCTAATGCAGACATCTTCCTGGGAGGCTATATGGAAAACGTCAAAGCTTCCAATGTCATCCACCCTCCCACATGGGACCGCGAGCTTAGGAAATCCCTGCAAAACACCCCCTTTCACTTACCCCTCATTTCCTTGGCAACATTCTGGCTCTCACTCAAACCCCGCTTGCTCTTCTGCAGTTCTTCCTGCAGGTGGCACACTTCTCTGGCTCTCTGGGCAGACTGTCTCTTGAGGAACCTTATTTCCTTCTTCATTTCCTGAAGCACACACACATTGACTTGCTTAGAACCCAAACAAATGCTCGGGCAAACTACGACTGCCGCCTCCCTCGCAGTGGCCAAAGGAACTGATGGCGCAGCTCTCGGGCGGCGAGAGTCACACTTCCCCTTCGAGGGCTTTAGACAATTAGACAGTCTTACTTCGACCAAATGACTTTATCCGCGCAAGTTCACACTACAGCCCAAACCCCCAATCTGATGATCATTGTTTTCCTTCCAGAAATCGCCTCTTCTGCACTTTCTGGTTGTCCCTAAGCTTCTTGAAGACTTTGCTCACAGGGAAAATCCTGCTTCAATGATCCCTAAGGAGGTGAGCTCCAAGATCTTAACACACCTCAACCATTAACTATCTTTGCAAAGGTCTCAGGGGTGAAGGAACAAGAAAAAATCACCCAAGACAAAGTGTTACTTCACAAGGTAATAATGTCTTAAGGTTCACTCTTACAGGGATGTCCTTAGGACTCCATCACCTTGCAGAAGGGTTTATCAAAAAATCGACAAGGAGCCATGAGCTGCAATGGGCGTCATAAAAGATGTCATACAAGTCAGGCCGAGTCTCTGCCCTCAGCAGAGTGGGATACCATCACTTAGTAACACGCGGATGTGCTAACGACCAGAGGCCCAGCGTGCGATGGGGAGCAGGGCTGGACCGCACAAGGAAGAATTCCTTCTACGTGGAGGCATCCGAGCATTGACAGGCAAAACGGACTCTCTGAGTCCCCGCTCAAAGGAAGCACCCATGCGCCGAGATGCCAAGAGACTAGCAGAGACGCAGGGGCATCCCCACGGTATTCCCCAGGGAGACGTGTATGTTTTTTGGAATCTTAAAACCACGTAATGCTTATATGCCGAATGAAAGTGCTCTTGGGTATTAACCACATAGGACACAAAATAGCATCAGTCCCCTATTTCCTCAACCTGTTTCCCAACCTTCCACCACGTTATACAGCACGTAAGTCTCTCCGCTGACGGACGCTCGGCTCTGCTCCTCACTCACCTCACTGCTCCTCCTCAGCTCCTCTTTCCTGGTCTGACTCGCCTGCAACGCCTGTTTGGTTCGGCCGCAACGTTGCTTACATCCTTCCAGTTTCTTTTCTACCTGCTGCTTTCCTGATGAGACCTGCAAAGAGAAAAAGTAGGCCCACTCTCATTTTCTGTGCTCTCCTTATTAAATAACCACGTCTTATCACTAATGGAAAAGTCGCCGCAGGGAAGAACTGACGCCCTTGGGGTGGGCGAGACTCCCACTCTGACAGGCCCCAGCGTGGCCGCAGCGCAGAGGCTTCACTGGGAACTCTGAGTATGAGAGGACGAGGACAGAGGAGCACAAGGAGCCTGCGGCCTGAGCCACGTGAAGACCGGAAAGGGTGTTGCTGGGATGGGAAAGACCAAGGAAGGAGCGGGTCTGGACAAATGCTGCCGTGGCGGGACTAAGGCCGGACGCTGAGTCGCCTGCTGGAAACGCCCAGAGGAGACGTCAGGCACGCGCCCAGAGTCTCGGGTTCAGCACAGAAGGCCCAGCCGCAGACAGGCGCGGGGGAGTCTTTCCTGTTGGGGGGAACGTCAAGGGACAGAACACACATGCGCAGGGAAGCGCAGAGGGGGTGCAGGGAGGGCGCCTACCTCCTCCAGCTGCTCCTGCAGGGCGCCCAGAGCGGCCCTGACCCGCCGCAGCTCCTCTGAGAGCCTGCCTTTCGCCTGCGCGCTCTCTCGCTCCAGGCTTTGGAAGGCGCGCTCTTGTCGGGAGAGCTCCTGGAAAGCAAAAGTCACACGTCTCCCACTGATGAGGGCTCACAGGCGGATGCCAGGGTGACACGGACGTCCCACGGATTAGGCCATGACGGAGGCGGCCACAACCGGGAGCCCAGCGGACCACCCACGCGCAGAGAAACAGCATCAGCCTGAGTCCAGGCGCCAGACGTCAACTCCCCCTCTCCCACGGCCAGGGAAGGGGTCCGCCCTTTGACCGCAGCCCCACTCTTCAATCGGTCCTCTCTCTTCCGAGGATCCAGGGCCCAAGGAGAACACAGCTGACCTGCCACCGTCACCATTCACCCGCCACATCGAATGCACTCCGAAGGGGATTCAAAGGGCAAATACCAGACACCACTTAGGACTGAGAACGATACAAAGTGTATGTCACCTATCAACCTGGACAATCGCATATGGATACGGCAGGACCATCTGCACTCGCTTTCCTTTACGTGCATGTGTGCTTGTGAGTCTTCCGTGGCTGTGTTTTGGTTTTCTACCAACCTACTGCTACGCCACGTACTGACAGCTGTGCTACCACTCCTAACTTGGGCTGGGGACGGTGCTTTCTCTAAGGGACTCTCGCGTACTCGAAGACAGTGACCGGCAGTCCTGGCCACTAGCCACTAAATGCTCGTAGTCCCCCAGTCCGCTGGCACACTTCCGACAAGAAAAAATGTCCCCAGATATTGCTAAATAACCCCTGGCAAGAAAACAAACTCACCCCCACTTGCTCTCGCCAGACTGACTGAGGAGGTTGGACCACTGTCCCGTGAACCCAAGGGTCACTGGTTCGATTCCCCGATGGGGCGTGCGCCTGGGTTACGGGATCGGTGCCAGGTCAGGCGGCAAGTGAGAAGCCACCCGTTTGTGTTTCTCTCCGTCATCTATGTTTCTCTCCTCTCCTCTCCTCCCTCCCTTCTCCTCTCCCTAATTCAGACAGCATGTCCTCAGATGAGGGGAGAAAAAACAACCACCCCAGGTTCAAAACCACCCTTCTACACTATAAAACCCATGGTCTTAAGTCACCACTTTCACCCAGGAACTAGCACGATGCCTGGAACCTTATTTGCTCCAGAAATGGGAGCGACCATACTCAAATACTGTTTTACCAGGGGACCACTCTGTCACTTAGAGACATGGCTAACGCCTGTGCTGATCACCTGAAACCAACAGACCATCAAATGCTATCTGGAATGGCAGCAAAAATATACTTAAATTTTTTTTAAAAAAAGTATTTCACTGCACAATGGGTTACAATTCCTCCAGGAGGCAGAGTCGCTTCCTTCTGGTCCTTCTCGGCATCTTGACCATGGTTTCTAAGGACATCCGGTGAGAGACACAGCAAAGGCACAGACGGCCGAATGGACATGCGAGGCTTCGCCAGACCAAGAGGAGGCCCAATCTGAGGCGCTCCCATTGGAAGTTCGGAGACCTCGCCCCGCCCGACACGCTCTCAGGCCGGCTCACCTCGCCCTGGCGGCTCTCCTCAGGGGCGGCCATCCGCAGCCCCAACCTGTCTGCCGGCGTCTTTCCCCGCTTCCTTCAACGACTCTTCTCCTGGAGTGGCCAAGCCACAGGCTTTCAAGCCAGACAGACAATGGGAAACCATTTCCTTCACAACGGGAGGGCATCAGAGCAAGACACGGGACCTTTTCCCACTCAGAACAACAATCGCAAACAAATCAGGACACACGGCTCAAAGGGAACACACGGGCTGCTGGGTCCCTCCTCCAATCAAAAGCTGAAAGACTGACAGTAGGAAGGGCAACACACAGAGACCTTCTCCTCACACAGCCTTACCCTAGGAGAACTTCCCAAATGATGACACGCGGCTCCTCGTTTCAAATGAGGACACTGGGACGCCTCCGACAAACCCACGTCGATCCATGCACCTTACCTCTTGAAACGCCTTCTCTTTTACCTTCAGTTTCTCTTCCAGAGAACATCTGACACTGTCGGCATCCTGTCGCTGACAGCTCAAATCTTCACTCAGTTTTTTCAGCTTTTCTTCCAGGACACCACACTAACAACAAACAAAAATGTGCATGACAAGACAAACTTGGTCAAGGAAAGAAGCGATATTTCCACCATGAGAGAAATTACTCCCAAATTCTGGTTCAACGTTTCCATTGTGTTCTGACGTTTTCATTCCATAGAAACATCGATTTAAAACGAGGAACGAGAGTGGAAAGTCACAGTAATAATTTGAGGACAGATCAAATTTACCTTTGGGACACAGTAAGAAGAAAGCAAAGGCTTACACCATGTCAATACTTCCTCGTTTGCACTATAAGAAAAAGAAATCGGCGAGTCTCCGGAAAGAGACATCTACACTTTGGCTGCATGGGTCTGCTTGATAGGCAGTGTTGTGGACTTGTGTAATTTAGAGGCTCTAAAATAATAATTGGGTCCCCTTCCTCTCGAGGGCTCGTGTCTTGCAAGCATGATACATTTGGGGAGGGACTGTAAATATCAAAAGGCGTCTTTGCACACTGCTCTCGCTGCGCCATTTTCCATTGCGGGAGGTTCACGGCACTCCAGGGAATATCACCGCTGGTTTTTCGCCGGCCGCCATGAGCGACACCAACACCCTTCCTTCGCCTTCGCGTAGCCAATTTCCCTTCCCATAGCTCTTCCCACGTGAACTCCATCAAAACTGAGGATGCTCTTCTAAAACGGAATTGCAACCAAATAGTCTGAAATCATCAAGCACTGAAACCCGTTCCTCATTCATCCGCACGTGTCTGCATCTCCAAGCGGCACCCACACAACAACTCGGAACGTCCAGGGAGGCGTAAGAACACTTCCCGGGGGTGGGAGAGAACTGCCTGGTCCAAGGAAATTTGCCCCAAGTCGGCACATCTCTCTCCTAAAGCAGCGCCCTGAGATTCCTCATACTCTCACGGAGAACGAAAAAAAGACTGCAAGTTTCACAGACAACTCGGAGGAAAAGAAAACACGATGTAATGCTTTGCAGAAGACCAGTCCAACACCAGTTACTCACCAAGCAAAGATTCAAACAGCACAGCTCGTCATCAGTGACTGAATGGTTTGACAAAGAGCATGTTTTTAAAAACACCTAATTGAAAAAGGACACCGGCGAGCCAATGGTTCCGATCAACCCACTGCCTTGGACAGCAGGACACCTCTGCCATTATCCTTAATGCTCCTGAATGTTGAAACCCCCAAGGAAAAGGATTGCAAGCAATTATTTACAATACATAGGAATTCAGTAAATATTGACGGAAGCCTGCCACAGGTCAAGCACTGTGCTAAGTACTGGGGATACAGCAGTAAGCGAGTCAGATGAAAATCACGTGGACCACAATTGCTGCTCTTTGGCAATCTGTGGGAAAAAACCCAAAGGCGGTAGTGGAGACGAACGGGCCCGCGGCGCCCTCTGCCGGGCCCCCTTCAAACTGCCACCCGGTCCCGTGAAGGATCTCCGAATCAACCGTGTTTTCTGACAGGGAACACTGGGTGAACAAAGAGCTTCGGGATACATTCTGGTTATTTCACTTCAGATGTTTTCAAGTGACATTCTGCTATGGACGCTGCACAGTCGTGGAGGATTAGCTACCCACCAGGTGCCCCGCTGTTCCATCACGTTCCCAAACAGCGTCCGGAGCTCCAGTCCTCGAAAGTACCTAGCGCACGAACCTGACCATCAGCATTCTAGGACTGACGTCACCATTTGTAACATGTGCGTGCGGAACTCCAGGCTTGCTGCAGGCCCACAGCTTTGTTTCCACATGACTTCTACACCCTTGGACCCCACGTGGGCCATAAGCACTTGGAAGACAAGCACACTAGAAACGTCTTCTGAGCACCGAAGAGCACGGTGTGGGTTGGCTGAAATGTGCTCCATTTCATTTCACGGGTAAGTCTCATGGCAGTTCAAGAAAGAGCATGTTCAATGCCTGACTTGATGTCAGCAACACCCAGCACGCATTCCAGCACGAGGCTGACGCCTCGAGAGAAACGACGTCGATCTCCACAACAATCCCATGGCACAGGCCTTATTCACACCATTGAATTGATTGGGGAATGGGGCTCACAAGTGAAGAGCTGCAAAAGCAACAGGACTGGGAGGTGGCAGAGCCACAACTCAAACCCCAGTCTTTCTCACTTCAAACACCAACTCAGACCGCACAAGACGTGACTGCACGCATCAGAGCAGGCCACGGCCCCACCGCCCCTGCACCGCGGCCTCAGCCATCCAGTCAGTATTGGTCCACAAGTTCTCTGGGCGACGAAGCGCTGCACTAGGCGAAGAGCTAAGAAGGAACCCACACGACTACATCCACAAAGTCAAAAATACGTAGACATTTCCCTATCCCTCCCGTCAAGAACAACTCGGAGCCTGCACGTGACACCCAAACACGCATCAGAAAGCTCGAAAAGGAGAGAAGACAGACTGACTGGCCGCTTCGGGGCCCAAGGGGAAAACCGGACTTTGGTGTCAAGAGAACAGCGCTGTCCTCCCAGAACCCGGATCCCCGGCCACACTCTGATCCAGGAATGACCTGGGATCACGACATTCTCAGAGAAAGGAAAACGGAAGGCACCCTGGGGCTTGCAGAACACTCACACGAAGTTCTCTCTCACCAGAAGCAAATGAGGAAAGGAGCACATCTGAAAGGAAACAGGAAGGAAGGGGAAGGCCGGACAGAGCAATTTAACTGGATTCCCTTCTTCAGGTTTCATAACCAGGTTTGACGGTTGAAGCGAACGTTCTAACACTATCTCATATGGTTCCATATACGTGTAGAGAAAATACTTACAATTACATTAAAAAGAGAGTCAGAGACAACATGAGAGCAGAATTAAATGTTCAATAATTCATTCGAGCTGCTAAAATGACAACACCAAAGGATTGTGGTTAAGTGGTGCGTACGTACACTGTAATGTCTAAAGGCTCTACAGAAAAGGACATTGAATAACGCTCCCGCTCAATAACAATGGAATTCCCCACAACCCATGAACCCTCGAGTACCTTGGTGGACGCCTGGGCGCACTGTGCTGTCATTCTCACTAGTGCTTCTCTCCTTTCCGTCGAAACCTTCTCTTTCTCGTCCAATTCCATTTTCGCCTTCTCCAGTTCGAGCTGCAGCTCTTCCCATGTATTCACTTGGCCTTTCGGTTCTTGCTCTTGTCCTTGCGCTCGCAGTTCCAACTCTCCAATCTTGCTCCTTAGCTCTGGAATCACAAAGAAAACCCACCCTGCGATCAACAGGCACTTCTCAAGACCATTTACAGCTCATTCACAAGATAAGATTTCTATTAATCTGCTCTGAAATCTTGGCTCAAATAGAAGTCGATTCGCATTAAACACAGAAGCGACTTTAACTGGACTGAAATTCAATGTTTAGTCTCTATCCTTATTTACCATCCAATGTCCTGCAGAAAGCAGGACAAACACATTTTCTAGATATCACAGAGAAACTTGGGGAAGAAACTGCTGTTCTCAAAATGGGAACATTTTCGCACTGAGCCTGCGAGAAGTGCGCCACATAAAACACCCTCATTGAAATCCACACTGGGTTTTACACATTGGCAGGCTCATAGCACTTTTGTGCCGGCATCACAGCAAGTAAGTGATGACCTGGGAAATCTTCTGCCTCCTATATCCTGGAGTCCCTTTGTCTCCGGGAAAGAGCAAGACAGTGTGAACCTCCTCCACTGCCAAAAGGAACCATACTTGCCTCTCATTGCCCGGCCCCCACCCCGCCCACTACACGCGATATCGGATCCCAGGGCACTGGCAGCGTGACGGCTCTCACCAGTGAACACTGACGGTCATTTTCCATACACCAGAGCACTGGACATCATCATAGCCTGCAGAGTACATTCCAGACCACCGCCGGGTACCCTTGGCTGCCACCTGCAGCCTGGCACAGCGGCCAAGGGTACAGGTTTGCTCCCGCACGGACAAGCTGGCAGAGCAGACAGCAAAGCTGTTCTGAGGACGCATGTCACACCTCTGGCCAAAAGTGGCCACGGCACGGGCTTCTATCCCGCACAACAAAGGAGTCAGAGGAGAGGCGTGGGGAGTGTCCACTGTCACCATCCTACTCCTGCTGCTTCCGGAAGGACAAGACAAAGGCATTCACCCTCCTTTGGGAAGCTTCGGGGTCCCCGCTTCTCCGGACAAACAAAGGGACCCTCCAAACCTGGCACATCTTTTCTCATCATCAAAGAGACAGCATTTCCACATCACCAGCCTGGCACGCGCAACACGGGGGCGGCTACCCAAACCCACGAGCACATTCGAGGAGTCAAGGTGCCTGGCATCGCCTCGCAAATTATCTCAGGAAGATGGACATTTGATTTAGCTCAAAAAAGTACCGTGACGCTGGGCTTTTAGTTGATCCGAAAGACGAGACCCTCTGGAGGTCCCACCGAAGCTGCTGGCAGCATCTCTGTGCCCCGCCTGCAAAGCGGATCTGCTCGCAGTCCCTTCCTCTTCCCCACAAGTGTCAGACGCGGAGAAGCCTCTCCCCAGCAGAGCCTGGACAGCCTCAGAAGAAAGACCACCTGGGGTCTTCTCTCGTGGCCGTGAGAACACAGTCGACGAGGCCTGCTCGCGGGCGACGTCCCGGGGACTCGTCATCTCTTCGGGAACGACCTGGCCCGCTTTCTGGAAAGACAGAAACTCTTTAGAGCCCCTCAGAAATCATCACTTTCAAGACTCTTCTCAAGGAGAACAGAAAGCCGTGCCAGCAGGTTAGCATGGCCACTTGGGTCCCGGGAAAGGACGGTCCCCAAGCCACAGGAACTCCTCAGTCCCAAGACCCGGGAACACTTTCTTATGGTCGCACTTCAGCGGTGAAGGGTTGAGCCAGTGCTGCTGAGGCCCAAGCCATTCCACGGCGGCTCCGTTCTGCTATTCCCGCCGCATCCCTCAAGTACTCCATTAAACACGGCAGTGCCCTTGGAATAATGACATTTCATTTTCCTTGGCCTGCACTTGGTCACCACCAACAACCCCACCCTCCGTGGCTTGGCACAAAGACCCTCAAAGTTCAACATTAGCCCTGGCTGGTGTGGCTCACGGGACTCAGTGCCAGCCCGACAATCGAAAGGTCACTGGGTGCATTCCCACCCAGGGCACGTGCCCGGCTGGCAGGCAGGCGAGAGGCAACCGATCGCTGCGTGTCTCACGCTTCTAGCTTTCCCTCCCTCTCTTTCTCCCTTCCTTTCTCTCTCTCTCAAAGGAAATACATGAAATCTTTCAAAAGATTTTTTCACCTAATGGGAACCTGATGAACTCCTTTACGAATCTCACTGTCCACGAGAACACGCCCCCGCCCCCAAATGTCCTACAAGGTACTTTATGTTCTGGAATAGACACTTGGGGATTTTTCAAATGCCTTGAACCCTTCTTTTTGTCTTCCCGCCTCCATTCTGACAAGCAAAGCCACGGCTGGAGACGCTCCGCTGCACTCTTCGTCCAAGCGCTTTTCCCGCCACGGGGACGGGTGCAATGCCCACGCACTCACGTGCCGCCACTCCGTGACCCTGGAAGCCAATGTCAGGGGCAGGACTGGTGCACATGCCCGGAGTGGACAGCAAAGCACAAGACGTTTCCAGGATGAGCTACAGAATTATTCATTCATTTCCGCTCATCTTGAGAGGCAATGCCTTTGTCATCTAAGAAAACCCTGGGGAGTCCGAACGGCGGTGAAAAGCACAAAAGGAATGAAAATGGTTACATCTCTGATACGGGCTTTTGGGCCTCCACATTTAAGGTATCTCCTTAGAGACTCGGCCTCCTGCTGTTTGTGAAACTCTGCCATCTTACCAACTTCTTCTTGTGCGGAAATACACTGGCAATGTGCCCACATGGACTTTTCTTTTTTTAACAAATAATATCATGTGAGCAAAAATGGAAAGGAAAATACCACAGGCACCAGGCATTTTCAGAGTCAGTCCCTCAGCCAGAAGGAGAGGTTTCTCAAACACGCACTGTGTGTATTTTGTCGACCTGAAGCAAATGTCTTCACCCACCTCTCTCTGCCCATGGGAACGCATCTAAATGAACTGCACAACCCCTGTCAGCAACTGACTTCATACAACTGGGGAGATGACTGAAAACACCCTCCTCGGAAATGAACGTTTCATGAAGTCGGACCCTCACGCCCCGTGCCCACGGCAGCCATCCCCACAATCCCTCAGGAACACGGCACACGGAGCAGGTTCCTCCAGGCGCCACAGCCAGTGTCAGGAAGGCGTCCGTGCCCACCCTCTCCACCCCTGTTCCTTCTCCTCGGATCTTAACAGGCACATCGAGGGATGCCTGCCGTTTCCATGGAATTCGGTGAAATCTGAACACGGAGGGAGACAGTATTCTCCCCATTCTCTTTCATTCACTCTTTACCTATTTCGAAACTTACAAACTATCATCGCTGCCCTGGCCAGGTGGCTCACTGCTTGGGAGCGTCGTCCCGTTCACCAAAAGGTTGCGGGGTCAGTTCCCGGGCAGGGCACATACCTGGGTTGCGGGTTCCATCCCGCTCGAGGTTTAAATGGGAGGGCAACCCATCAGGGAGGGAGGAAGGAAGGGAAAGGGAGAAGGAAGAGAGAAAAAAAGGGGGAGAGGAAGGGAGGGAGGCAGGGGGGAAGGGAGCGAGGGAAGGGAAGGAGGGGGGAAGGGAGGGGCGAAGGGAGGGAGGGAGGAAGAGAAGGAAGGGAGGGAGGAAGAAACATCATGACCAATGAGAACATTCATATTCTCAATGGAATGAAAATGCACCAGTTCTATGGGAAGCACAATTCCCTGGAACCCTCTTCTAGCCTATAGACAAGCACTTTCTCAACTGCACGCTGCTATAAGGCCCACAATTTACTTATTTTTGCCTGCAATGCTTTCACCTCTGCCTCTACTCTTTTGCGTTCTTCAACTTCGTCATTATGTTTTTCTTTTACATCTTCGTATTTTGAACCTAAACACAGACAAGGAGATACAGGTTTACTTTGATCGTTGGCTTGGGGAAGGAACTCACAGATCAAGAATTACAATAGGTACTTCAGAAACCAGTCTCTTTCTACACCAGAAGGAACATTTCATTTAGGACAACAGAGAGCAGTCAAATGATTCCAATATCAGCATCCATGGAAACACAGGCGGTTTCGACAGTCTGAAATGGAATGATTTCTGAAACACACCACAGAGGCATAAAGGGAAAAGTACAAGCTGCCCAGGGAGTCTGCGCATGTGAACGTGTTTCCGCAGACATTTAGAAAGGGCTGGCAAGAGTGAAGACACCGAAGGCATCAAGGTCCCTGAATGTGGATATGAGACACTCATGTGGGGATGCATTTTCTTGGGCCATGAGCTAACTCTCGGAAGATTTACTGGAACTACAGTTAAAGCTTGGTGGAATTTCTAAAAGGGAGCCAAAACAAAAACAAAAACAAAAAAAATAAACTATCTGAAAAGTATAAGGACTTACTAACACTATGGCTCAAAGAGTTCAACAGATACACAAATATATATGTTAGAGCAAGTAGTTGCACTGTTTAAGTGCCTAGATTAGGAAATGAATTTCAAGGTGAACCGCTTCATTGCTTTGACAGAAAGGACTGGAATCTCATTCAAAGAGCTATTTCTATGGAAGGGAAAACTCCTTACCGCCATAAGACCAAAATGGTTTCATCAGAATTGTAAAAAGTTTCCGGAGTAGACTGCATGGATTCAGAGAGGCATGTGCAGACGGTGCAGCTTCCTCTCTTCTTTCAAGTCTACACTTACGCCTGTAGGAAAAGGACACAAGAGGATGCCAAATCAACGCAAAAGCCACACGATAGACACACCCTACTGTTCCCACAGAGGAACAAGCTCATCAAAGTCACCCTGTGAAAATCCTTACCGCTTCACTTACCCAAAAGACACGTGACGCACATACACTCAGAGACCTGTCTTCAAAGGAACTTGGTCGCGTTCGGGAAACAGAAATAAACCAATACTTACAACGTCACAAGGTTACAATAAACATCTCTCAGGACTTCAATAGCACAAGAAAGAGTAGGGAGGTTGGGGCTAGTTTCCAAGGAAATTGGATGGCATTATTTAAACAGGTATAAAAGTCAAGTTAACGGCACACACGGATACACGGCTGAAAACAGTTACAAAGAGATGGGGGATATAAACGATACAGTGTGCATTGGTACAGAATACGCCTGCCATCTAACTTCTGAACACCTTTCTGAATCAAACAACCTAAAGGAAGACTCAATTCTTGCCTCTATCGCCCGATTTTACCTTCGCACAGAAATACAATGAGCACCCTACGAGGACGGCTGATGCGCACCGTTCCCTTGGCCGGGGACGCGGCCCTCAAAGCACACAGTGAACTGGACACACAGTGAACACAGCGCCGGAGGGCCCTCGCTCCCCCTGCCTCGTCTCGGAAGAAGCAACGCCACGGCTGACGATGACCACTCAGCACACCAATCTGTCACATCCACGCTCACGGTACGTGGCGGCCCTGCCCAGGAACAATGTTTGATTATGATGAAAAGAGGAACGAAAAATACGGGAATTTCATCTTCAGGTTTAAGTCAATGTTTTCAGAATACTGGCATTTCAGCGTGTGAGGAATGCAACTCTTTGTTTTCTCTTTCTCTCTGTACTGACTCTTCAGACTTCAGTGCACATCTCAATTGCCACTAGCCGCATTTCATGGGCTCAACGGCCACCTGGAGCCAGCGGCTACGACACTGGACAGCGCAGGTCTAAAGGCTGCCCCACCGGTCACAAGCCTGGGGATTCTGCAGGTGAATTTGGAAGGGCCTTGCAAAATCGCTGTTTCTTCTCTCTCTCCAATTCACCTCTTAGCCCCACTTTCCCTATCTTTTCATGAAGAAGAGGAAAAGTTCGTTTCTTTTCAATATAAGGAAAAGGATACACTGCTATTGTTTTTTAGAAACACTGGTTTCTCCTTTCTCTCAGGGACAACAACACGCACCACTACCATGGAGCTCTGGTCCACTAGCTTTAATGCAGGAAGCTGCCAAAAGGAAACAGCTGTGGAACCTTTCAAAGGGTTCAACCGAACTTGTTCCACACTTTCCTCAAACATAATCAGGGGCCGCTCATGGGGAAAGCAGGTTCCTGCCCTGCACTTGAAGGATATTGGTGAGCATTTCAAAACTACACTCAATACTTCTTCTCGTGTAGTATTTATACGCTTGAACACTTCTCATACTAAGGAAAACTAGACCCATCAGAGTTCTTGCAGTCTACTTCATAGAGCCTACAATCTTTTATAAACACCTATGTCCACATCACAGAAACTAAGACTATTTGAAACTCAATGCGCTACACGGCTCTCCTAACCCCATGACAACGGTGACAGCTAATAACAATGGAAAACAACGATTATAAGACCGCTAACATTTCACACGTGCTCTGTGTCGTGGACAACCCTGGGCAATGCAGACCCACCAAAGGATTGCTAACATACGGCACTCTGCAGTGAAAAATACAAACTCATACACAGGCATCCTGAACCTAAATGTTCAAAATAGAAACCTCTTTGTCTAAATTATTAAAACCCCTGTCTCCAAAGCCCGCGGCCTAAACATGCTTTCCATTCAAATGACTATCCCGGCACACGGAGGTGAGCTCCCTCCTTCCCTAGCAATTGCTCTTCAAAAGGAATGCCTGTCCCTCACTCACTCCTTCCGCAAGAGCTGCAGGGCCTACAATCGCCAGCTGCTGAGGATACGCTGACCAACAAGACAGACAAGACCCCTGCTCTCATGGAATTTGCCACGGCAGACAACAACCGAGAAAACCAAAAACTCGATGAGATAGAAGTTTATTCTTAACATGCAATTTACACAGAGCCACCTTCCCACAGGAATAAGAAACAAAACCAGAAGAAGATCTCTGAGCCGAAGAAAGCATCAACTAAAGGCAATGTGGAATCCTGGGTCAGGCCCTGAAACAGAAAAAAGACATCACAGGAAAAGCTATTCAAATCCTCTTAAAGTCTGTCCTTAACAGCGCTGAATCAAGTGCTTCCTTCAGGCTCCCTCATTGTACTTTGCATTGATAAGATGCTAACAGCTGTTTCTGGATCTCTCCCATTATTTCAAGTATTCCTGTTGAAATGTCTCGCTGTGCATTTGCAGACTCAACACTGTGACACTTTCCTAAAGTACCTTTTGCTTTTAGCTTCTACCATTCCTCGTTATTTGGACAAAATTCCACTACCACAACAAGAAGATACCGTTCTTCCACGAGCAGTGTTTCTGCCCCACTAAAGTTCTTTTGATAATGCCTCTGGGAGTTGGTCAGTGGAAAAGAAGGAAGAAGCACTTGTTTTACTGCTCACACAGGACCCCGAAATTCACAAATCTGCTATGTACCGCTTCAGCTCCCTCTCAGGTAGAAATCTCAAGAGGACACTCTTCTTCACTTGGCTTCCCTCCCCCGCCCTCCTAGCTTAGATCCCTCCGCCCCGGACTCTAACCGCTCTCTTCCCAATATCCTCACCCTTTCCATGTCTCCTGCCCCATCACCCTGGCCAAAAGCCAATCCTAAATCATTCCTCCTCTTCACCTTTTCAGCATTTACGTCCCATAGGCTAAGGGGGGGAATAGAAAACAATTCATACAGCTTTAGGGATTGGACCCGCTATCCATTCCTTCCGGGTCTCCCACCTCAGCCGGGTTGAGGATGGTGTGGGGACTATTTATTACTGTAGCACATGGTAACAGAGCGTCCGCTTCGGGAAACGGAATAAACGTGGACTGAATGAACGAAAGAAGGGAGCAACCACTGAACCAACTTGTACAATATTGAGTTCTGCAATGAGAGGACTCAAGTATGTAAGAGTCCATTTTCTTTCGATCATTGTTTTTACCACTGGAAACAAAGATATCGCCGTGTATGGTAATCACCTCACTAAAGGAAAAGATATATGCGTCTGATGAGCACACACAACAAACACATAAACACCATTCCAAAAAAGTACCTTGGAAGTTCCTGTTCCCGTTTCTCCACTGGCTTTTCTGTTGAACTCAGTCGTCCTTCGTGGAACTTCACTTCGGACTCCATGACTTACTTCGTCACAAAATGCCTTAGGAAAGACGCGAGGATGAATGGCAAGTTGCATGCTTTGCCATTTCAAACCCGAAGATACATCTAGACAGAAGCGGTAAAGGCTACGACTTGATTCGAGCTTATTTGGACCACAGCATCTGATTAAGGCATCGAGAATCTGTACGAGGCCATTGAGGACAAAGACCCAAAACATATCTAAACCTCAAAGGTAAGACGGAAGGGGCAAAGCAAAGGTGGGGGCGTGGGGAAGCAAAGTCCTGGAGGTCCCCATTCCTGCACAGAGGGTTTCCAGGCCCTTCCTCCTGCCCGGAAAGTGCTCCTCCTGCCTCACATACACACAGGACACTATCCATGCCCGAATCACCAACCCCGGTCAGTGTCCCAGGCTGCTCGCATGTGAACTGCGACTCCTCTGGCCCCCACACTCCAGGCCCGTTTTTACACTTTCCCTTTATCAGAATATCCCTTCTCCACCCAGAATCCCCAGCTCCCGCCTACAGCACCACCGCTGAGCCTGACAATGAAAACTGCCCGCTCCTCTAGAACAAGCTCAAGGATAAGATTCGGGGCACCTACGCCTGCATCCTCATAGCACAGCAGAGGCAGGCGCACAGGTGCGTCCCAATTAATGAAGGGAAAGGCAACAGAGAAATGCTCTCACCACTCACCACGAGCACACCAACCGGCCCTCGCCTGGACCAAAACCCAAGCTCGTATGGCCTCCGAGCACAAAGGACCCACTTCCATGGACCAAACAGGAGCCACTGCAGCCTATGGGAAGTTACTATTGATCTCCAGTTCTTCTCCCTTCCGAGCGGGAAACGGATTCCCAGCATTCGGGCTCATGATCCATCCGGGCTCAGGACAGGAGTGCCAGCACAGCTTACCTGGGACCTACCTCTCCAGTTAGGTCAGAGGGGAGGGGGCGCTCTGCTGCACCCTCAGGGCCCGGTCGGGCACTCCCACAGGCATGCCCTGCCGCTATCCTGGGGCACATTTCCGGCATCACCCCCACGCCCGCAGCCCTCTCAGGACCCAAGGACACTCACCTGGCCACGCCAAAACGAAACACACCCTTCAGTGGATCCTAACCCGCGCAGCCGCCACCACTTCCATCTCCTTTTCCAACTCCCACTACCGGTCTCCACCAAAGTGGCTTCCAAACTCTGCGGTTGCTATAGCAACGGTCAGCCAATCCGCTTCCAGCTAGCCTGCAGCTACCTCTGATTGGTCACTGAAAGGGATTTAAAAAGAAACCCCTCACCACCTCAGCTGGCGGGGGAGGGGCGGTGGCTGAGCCCAGGTCCCATGCTGGAAAGATAGGAGTCTAGAATATTGTAGCATATCAGGGAACCAAGGAGCTAGCAAAGACTACAAGGCTCAGAGCAAAAGCAAGAAGGAAATCAACTCAGGAGGCTCCCACTAAGGCAACTAGGAACATCTGGTCTTTGAGGACAAGAAAAATTACCCTGCCCCGAAACGGAATGAGTATATTTCAGTCTGTAGATCACTAAAAACACTTTTGAAAAAAATTTCCTTGTTCATCTCTGGAAAATGTTAGGGAGCCAATACTACTTTCAAAACCGGAAAAGTAAAGGGAAAGCGTTACGCAATTATTCTGCCTTCCCTCCCTACAAGTCTGTACAGCTGAGCGTAAACAGACACTGAACGACGGCAACGTTCTCTCGGCAGAAGTCTGGCCAAATGACGCAGGAGCCTTAGGCTATGCCTATTTGGTAAACCTTTGAGTTCATGAATCCAGGGCTAGGCAATCATCATCAAGAGCTGGGAACATAACAGAGACAGGAACACTCTGCTCTATCAGCACACATAGAGTGTTCTGGGGGGAAACAGGTATGCACATCGCATGGATTCTGAGTCACAGCAGGTCTCTAGACGTCCCTGACAATTTACGGCAACTGTAGAAAACTGAAACCCCCTGTTCAGCTAGAGGACGCCACACAAGCGCGACTCAGTAAAATCCAGGATCTCGAAGACCGAAAGAAGCAAACAAGCCGATTTCTCCTACCTAATAATAACAATAACAACAATCATAATAAATATGCGTCAGGGACTCTTAAAAAATGCATGAAAAATAAAGAGAGTTGGAACAGAAACGTATCGATCAGATCTGACCCACAGAACTCTCTTCAAGGACACAAACGTTCTGTGCTGTTCAATACAGGAGCCCCTACCCTCATGGAGCCACTAAGCACTTGAGATGTAGGCACTGGGTCTGAATATCAGAATATGGCACTTCAATTCATTTCAATGGAAGGAGCTACATGTGGCCAGCGCTTATCGGAATGGCTCCTGACTCTAAGATCAACGGACGACTAAGGGGCTGCTCCTCATTCACAATGTATCATTTCATGAAGGTTGTTTGGGCCCCTATTCAAGCTAATACATCTTTTCTTGGAAAGCATCAAAGAATACACTAAGTAGGGAAGTGTGAACCCTGTCAGATATGTAATAATATTGAGCGATTACTAGTACCATTTTTATGGGTGATGGGGCAGAGGCTATCCTTGAGAAATATTTACGGGTAAAATGATGTAACCTCTCAAATTTCCTTCTAAATAATCAGGGGCGATGAAACAAGATTGGGCGCTGTACTGAGAAGGGATCAAGCTGCCTGATGCGTAAACGGGAGTGTGAACACAGGCCCTTTTGTTTTGTAGGCCTTCAACAGATTCCATAATCCCAACGGCGAGGGGGCGTTGCGGGAGAGGACACTTAACCTGCATGCAAGGCCGGCATCTGCTTTTTTCTGTCCCCAGGAAGAATACTGGAAACATACAAGAAGTTCAGAGAGTTGGTTGGGAATATTTTCCCGGTTACTCTCCTTCAAGGCAGGGAAACTGTCCTTTCCTACGGCACATACCGTGGTATGCACTCAAGCAGGACCATCTGTTGGCCAGGCGCGTGCTTTCTGGCTACCGTACCGGACTTTTTCTTTGACGCCATTTGACTGCACCCTTCCAAGCGGATAGAGCACAAAGTGAAAGCAATACCTCATTTGGACTTCCAGCTCCGCTTCACAATTTGAAGAGAGAACACTACAGTGTATTTGTTTTCAGTCCACATTTAGGGATATGCTAGGTCAAAACTAGACTCTCCCAGAAGCTATCCATGTCAAAATCCTGGAACCTGTCATCTTATCTTATTTAGGAAAAAGCCCATGCAAGGTCCCTAAGATCCCAAGACGAAATCATCTTCAATCGTCTAGGTGGCCCTCCATCCAGCAGCAAATGTCCCTAGATGCACGCGGGAGGACAGACAGACGGAGAAGAAGGCAAAGTGAAAAGGCAGAGCTTGGAGTAAAGCGGCCACAAGCTAAGCAAGCAGCAACCGCTACAGGCACGAACAGCAGATTCTCCCCCCACGGTTCTAGGCTTGCGGCCCTGCCAACACCTTCACTTCAGGCTCTAGCCTCCAGAACTGTGGACCAAATAAATTTCTCACAGTTGAAGTCACTCAATTGGTGGCAACTTGTTACAGCAGCGACAGAAAACGAAGGAGGGAGTAACTACTCTTTCAGTAATGACTACCACAGGCATGCTCTTCCAGTGTCCTCGGGCGGAAAGCCAGCGCCTCTCCCACGCCAGACGCGGTACCCGGGACCCACGCAGGATGCTCACCTTGCCAGCCGAAAGCGAAACACACCCCTCAAAGGGGCCTATTCCGTGCAGCCTCCAAGAAATGGAGCCTCTTTCCCAGCTCACACTGTCAGCAGCCACCACGCCTTTGCCGCTAGCTACTGGTCTCCACCAAAGGGGCTTCCGAAGCTCTTCTGGTTGCTATGAGCGACGGTCAGCCAATCCGCTTCCAGCACCGGTAGGGCCGCCTCTGATTGGTCACTGCAAATGGCTTTAAAAATCAACCCCTCAGCAGGTCAGGGATGGCGGACTAGAACAGTGATTTTTCTGTTGGGGGGGGCAGGGCGGAGACCACGTGCTTTGCTTGCAGGAGGTGTGGAACCCCTTTTCCTGCAGTTACCCTGCAGCTGGGCCCTCCATTCCGATGGTGTGGTCTATTGCCAGCAGCCATCTGGAGTGCGCTCTCTGCTGAAAACACTCGCTATTGTGATCAAACCTTTGTCCTTGGTACCATTGGCAAATATGTTTTCCCGGACGGTTGCTTCCCTTTTCATTGTGCTCATGTTTCGTTTAGCGGAGCAGAAGCTTCAGATTTGGATGAAGCCCCGTTTGTTTTCTCTTTCCTTTCTGTCCCTTGCTCCGCGGGACAAAACGGTCTATATATTGCTCCATAGCGTATCTGAGACTTTCCTGCCTATGTTCTCCTCTACGACATTTATGGTGTCACGGCTTATTTTGAAGTCTTTTACCCGCCTTCGGGTGATTTTTCTGTACGGTGGAAGTGGGTGGTTATTTCAGTTTTTCCCATGTTCCTCCCCGGCCCTCCCAACGCCGGTTATGGAAGAGGCCATATTTACTCCATATTATGCTCCTGCCCCCTTGGTCGAATCTTAACTGACCATGGACACATCGGTTTCTTTCCGGGCTCTCTATTCTCTTCCACCCATCTATGTGTGTCTTCTTACGCCAGCACCAGACTGCTGGGATTACAGGGGCCTTGTACTAGAGTTTGAGGACAGGTGCTGTGGTACCTCCTACTTTGTTCTTCTTTCTCAAAATTGATGCAGCTGTTCAGCGCCGTTCAGGGTTCCATGATATTTTTGAAATGTTTAAGTCCGTGAAATATGTCATTGGTATTTTAATAGGGACTGCATGGAATCTCTACATTGCTTTGGGCAGTATGGGCATCTTGATGATGATGACTCTTGTAATCCATGCACACGGTACATGATTCCGTTTATTTCTGCCTTCCTCAATCTCATTCTTCACAGTTGTGTTGTTTTCTGAGTACGTTCCGTGACCCCCTTGGTTAAGTTTATTCCTACGGACTTTCCTTTTCTTATTGCTACGGCCGATGGGATTCTTTCCCTGACTTCTGATTCTGACCTTTCCTCGTCAGTGTACAATAATGCCTGCGATTGTTACATAGTGACTTCCTATCCCACCGCTTGGCAAAATTCACTTCCCAGGGAGAGTCGTTTTTTGGTAGAGGCTATGGGGTTTCCTTTGTACGCTGTCATGGCATGTGCAAACAATGACAGTTTCACTCCTCGTTTCCTAACCCGTTGCCTTTTATTTCTTTTTCTTGTCTCATCACCGTGGCTCGCACGTCCAATACTACGTTGGAGAGAAGTGGTGAAAGCGCAAAACCTTCTCTTGTTCCTGATCTTTGTGGTGAAGTTTGTAGCTCTGGCCCATTCAGTATGATGTTGGCTGTGCGTTTTTCATATACGGCCTTCATTTTGTGGAGGTGTGCCCCGTTTATTTCCTCACGGTTGAGTGTTTTGATCATAAACGGATGCTCTATCTTATCAAACGCTTTGGCCGCATCCATTGATATGATCGTGTGGCTTTTGTCTTTCCTTTTCTTTCTCTGATGGATTACATTCATTGATTTCCAAATACTGTACCATCCTCTTGCGTCCCTGGGATGGATCCCACTCGATCATGGTGGACGATCATTTTGATATAGCCTTGGATGCGGTTTGCCAAGACTTTGTGGAGGATTTTACTGGCTCCGTTCATCAGCGATAGTGGCCTGTACTTTTCTTTCTCTGTTGTGTCTTTACCTGGTTTGGGGATGCAAAGGATGCCGGTCTCGTAAAATGGGTCTGGGCGTCTTCCCTCTTCTCGGATCTTTTTGGAATACTCCGAGAAGGACAGGGGTTAACGCCGCCTTCCAAGTTTTCTAAAAATTCTCCTGTGAAACAGACCCATCCAGGGCTTTTGTGTGCCGGGACTTTTGATTACTGCCTCAATTCTACCAGCTCTTTCCACTTCAGGCTTTCTCCTGCTGCTTCACTCAGTGTTGCGAGGTTGTATTTTTCTAGAAAGTTGTCCCTTTCATCGCGGTAATCAAATTGCTTGGCATAGAACTGTTCGTAGTCATTTCTTACAGTCCTTTGTATTTCTGTGGTATCACTTCTTATTTCTGATATTACTTATTGGGGTCCTCTCCCTTTTTTCCTTGATGAGTCCACTTAAAGGCTTCCCCATTTTGTGTCTCCTGTTGAAGAACCAGCTCTGGGATTTGTTGAGCCTTTCAACTGTTCTTTTAGTCTCTATGGCATTCAGTTCTGCTCTTGTCTTGATTATCTACTTCCTTCTGTTCGCTCTGGGCTTCGTTTCTCATGGTTTCTCCAGTTCTTGAAGATGTAGGCTTAAGGCATTTGTTCTAATGGTTTCTTGGTTAGGCCTGTATTGCCATGAACTTCCCTCTCGGGACTGCCCTCGCTGGGTCCCGTTGGTTTGGAACGGTTGTGTGTTCATTTTCGTTTGTTCCCAGAAACGTTTATATGTCTTCTTTGATCTCATTATTCACCCATCCGTGGCTTCACAGCATGCTAGCCAGTCTCCATGAGGTGGAATGTTTTTGAGTTTTTTCCCTGAGGTTGGTTTCCAGTGTCAAGCCCTGAGGTCCCAGAAAATGCCCGATAGGATTTCAGTGTTCTAGAATTTGTTGAGCCTTGTTTTGTGTCCTATCATATGCGCTATGTTCAAAAACGTTCCATGTGCATTTGAAAAGAATGTGTACTTTCCTTCTTTGGATTAAAGGTTCTATATGTCCCTTGAGTCCATTTCATCCAATGGGTCTTTCAGTTTCACAATATCCTTGTTGATGTGTTGTTCGGAAGATCTATCCTTTGTTGACAGTGCGGCGTTAAAATGCCCTATGATCAGTGTGTTGCCGTCTACATCTTCCTGGAAGTCCTCTGAGGTTTTCCTTTCATGTCTGGGTACCCTGATATTGGCCTCATACGCGTTTATGACATTTATGGCTTCTTGATGGATTAATCCTTTGAATATTATAAAGTGTCCTTCAGGGTCTCTTTTCATGGCCTGTGTTTTGAAATCTACTTAGTCTGGTATGAGTATTGCAACCCCTCCTTTCTTTCCCAGTCCATTTCTGTGCAATCTTTTTTTCCATCCCTTTCCTTTCAGTCAATGTACGTCCTTTGCTCCGAGGCTGGTATCGTTTGCGGTCCATTCCTCCCAGTTTCCCTGTGGTTTTTGGTAATTCTCTCTGAGCTCACTGAGCTCAGCGAGCCTCGTTTCAACCATTGTTTTAGACTCCATAGCTGCTCGTATACTTGCCTCTATTTCATTTAGTTCACTTTCTGGGGATTCCTCCTTTCCATTCAACTGGGGCGGGGGGTGTTTCTTGATCTTCACATTATTTGGAAAACTCTTCTGTTTTGCTTCTGCTTCTTCAATTGATCTCTCTTGGCTTCTAGACTTTCGTGTGTGAAAGTGGATGCTAGGGACCGCTTTTCTTCTTTCTGGATCTGCCTCTGATGATGTCAGACGCTGGCCCTGTCTCACCTCAGGCAGTCTCTTCGAGACTTCCAGGAAGCTACTGCCTGTGGCTGTCTCCTCCAGTTGTTAATCTAGTCCTTCCGCACTCAGCAGTTACACTGAGGCATCCCAGTGCAGGGCAGAGACCCTCCTAGGGGCAGGGTTAGTTTGTCCTCTGCACTGCTGCCAGGCAGAGGAGTGGTCTGCCTGAGCAACATGGCTGCTGCGATACGGGGGAGAAGTCAGCCCCGGCATCCTGCCGGATGCTCTCTCCGTTCTCTCCACACAGCCTCCGGCCCCAGACTCTCAGCAAGCGTCTCGGGACCAGCTACGCCCCGTTCAGCCACAGACTCTACGATCAGTGACTGCCTCTCTAGGCTCAGCAGTCAGGCTCAAGCAGCCCCGGCCAGGGCACCGTCCCTCCTGGGGCGGGGATACCTTTTCCTCTGTCGCTGCTGTCACTCCGGGGAGAGGTCGGCCTGAGCAAGATGGCTGCTGCTGTATGAGGGAGAAGACAGCACCAGGATCCCGCCTGCTCCTCTCTCAGTCCTCACCCCAAACTCTCCATGTCCGGTCTCTCCTCAAGCATCTCCCTTGGATAACTTGTTAAGTGTTAGCTATTGTTTTTTTTCATTCCAGTGTGTCAGAGCATTTACAGTTGCATGGAATACCAAATGTAGTCTGTTCTCTTTTGTCCCAATTTTCATTACCTTTTCTTTCTAAACAAAATTCAAACTTCTTTCACTTATTGATCCCGTGAAACATTCTTGGTGTGATGGGCTTCCAGCCCCCTTTAACATAGCAGAGTCTACACAGGTCGGTAAAACATCTTGCATTTGACCCAAGTGAAAATGTAGTGCGACAGAAATCCTCACTTCTCCGAGTAACAGAGTGTCCGTGTAGGGGAAAGAAACCAAAAGGAAGCTCAACTGCTCTGTGATGCTGTTTCCAACGCGCCTGTGAAAACCCTTTCTACTCCATGGGTCTCAGACCACTTCACCGTTCCTGTTTCAGTACTGCGAACCCTTAGGAAGCTAGGTATTCTCTCTAGGCGAATTACCGCCTGTCATCGGTCACACACGCTACAGGGCCCAGCACAACGCTCGATAAACTCTTCTTAAATAATCGAAAGATACATCTGAATCTTCCACGGCAGGAGAAGTGACCGAAAACAAAAAAGATATCCAGAACTCCTGCAAGAAAGCACCTCCCAAGGCCGACCGAGGGACAATTTTCATTGAACAAAGAACATCCGGGTCGACAACTGGACCTTTGAGGTCCATTGAACCGATATTCCTCAACCTTCAAGAAAGGCTTCATCTCTATTCAGCATATTCAGCTGAAGAGCACAGAGGGACCC